TGTAAATAAGGTGTGTTAATTAACAAGGGTGAAAAACTGTCTGAGAGGTGAGTTAATTAACTCATAAATTATTTGCTAGCTATTATAAAAACGTACAATACACAAACAGGGTAAGCGATATGATCAACCTTCCCGAAGAGCTACCAATTGTCCGAATTTTCAAAGAAAAAATTAACAAATTTTATAGTGTAATATCAGTATCTTCTCAAATAAAGCAACCGAACAGTTTTCCAATACGCGCGAATAAGCTCGCGCACGCCTTTACATGTGATAGAATTGTTACTTTGATCAAAGAGATGTTATTGCTCTGCACGGACTATGCGTGAAACGGTTAGACGTGAAGTCTGAAATGGTTGGGTTGACATTTGAATGGTACAAATTTGAAGACACAAATAATAACTTGTCGAAAGACGAGAATAATTATATTTACGAGAATCAGTATATTTACATACGGCAAATTTGGCTTATTCGCGATATACATGGGGATTTTTAAAATGGGGCCTACCTGTTCGATATTTATAAATGACGACATTGCATTTCGTGCGATAGATTAAGCTCAATATTTTTATTTCATTAAATGCAACTTTATAAATAGCGAAGTAGCTTGACTATATGGTACGCGGTATAATCAGCGTTCGACACAAACGTCGGTCCGTAGGCCCAAGGCCGACTGATTTATCGGAGGACTCCTGCTTGCCTATTTCACTCGGGTCCGCCTGGCCTTCGACTTCTTTCTTATCTCGCATAGTTAGTGTCCACTACGACAATTCGGGAAATGCTAGAACTGTCATAGAAACGCAACCTCCGAGTCTCCGATAGTTGACGGTTATTGTTTACTTGTCATCGACATAGATGACGGAAGCTGCTGTTTTTCCAAACATTGACTCGCGTAACCAGCCTTTGATTTGTAACTGGGTTTTTTTGTCGGCTTTAGCCGCTTGAACTTTAAACAAACCGATTGGTAAAAACAATGAAACGGCCACTATGGTATCATAAATCAATCTACTTTCGGCTAAATTTAACGGTTTAATTATTACTTTTTGATTAAGTAGTCAATCAACTTGCTTGTTGGCTACAATAACAGTCATACCTCTCTGTATGGATTATGAATCTCGCTCAGGAATTGCGCTTCTTCGACGCTCCGTATAGATTCCAGGTACCGGTAGATAATAAAATAATAATTGGATCATGCATTTAATGGTTTGGCTGACCAGTTGTTACATAAATTTAAATCTTAGTTGAATATAATCCTCAGAACAGTCATTAATAATATATTTTTCCGACAAAATCTTCGATACCAAATCCGCCGATGACTTGTGACATCAGTTGGAATTTCTAGGGCAATAAGCCAGCAATGCTAGGTTTAGTTTTAAGTAACGTTTACCGTTATGATTTTTTATTTGATACACATGCTGGAAGAGGCTAAATTTTAAACATATTGTCGTTATTATTATTGAAAACTATATGGCATTGTCGTACAGAATTTTATTTTAAAGTAATTTCAATTATGGCTGTCACGTGATCACTGTGCCGTGTGTCTTTCATGGACGAATGAATAAAAACATATTTGCAAGTTACGTGATAGACAAAAACTACAAACTGTGTTATGAAAAATACCACCGTGCTGTATCATTTTATATCCATCCAAAAAACGAAGACAGTTATTTATTCAGGAATATTACTGACTCGAAAATTTTCCGAACATAACGCAAGGGTTATGACATTGTTAATCTTAACACGATTCTGGATGAAATATATTACAAACTTCTGTCTCCTACGAAGTTTTCCGTTTTCCGTCGATTCTGGTGTGCACACCCCATTCATTGGCCTTCGACGGGGGCAGTTATCTTTGAAGACTTGAAATTGGCCACCCAGTTATCTCTAATAGTTAGTTTACTGTTATATCTTATAGCTATATAGGCAGTTCGCTTCGTTTCTCTAGAACATTACATTTGGGCTTGTTTCATCATGTAGAGTTTAAACCGATATCTTCACTAAAAGTCTATCAAATCACTTCTCTATGTAAAGGTGTGTCCAAGACTGGTTAGCAGGTGTTCCTTTACTGTAACATTTTGATTCACAAATTGATGGGGTTCGTTTGCAATTTGGATTTAACTATTGTTATATATCACCAACGGTCATCAATTTATCTAAATAAGCTTGTTATTGCCATCAATTTATCTAAATAAGCTTGTTATTTCCATCAATTTATCTAAATAAGCTTGTTATTGCCAAACTAGTATTTTTCTAATGAAGTCGTCTACAGATGTCTACTGTTATTATTGTTTATTTATATTATATTCATGATTATGTTTATTTACAATGTAAGGTCAGTAGTGAGTAAACACTTCCAGTTGATCAGAGCACTTGGGAAAATCCTACCTCCCCCTTCCTAAATGGGAGTTAGGGTTGGGTAGCCGGCTCGCAATACTGACCATTGATGTTAGGGACGCTTACAAAGATCAGAATATTTAGTTTTGGGTAACATTATACTTTATAAGTACATATGAGGTCAACATTCAAAATTTTTCATTGTCTATAATGTGTATTGTGTTTGTCGTTGGTAATTCAATCCGCCATTTTAAATAACCATTTCAAAAATACAATTTTTTTCGAGGGGTGGAGAGGTTACTTTTCCATATTTTAAATCAAATATCTTATGATACTAACTTTTTATACATTTTGGAAACATTATTTAATTTTTATGCTCCCATATTTTCAGGCCAAAGGTTAAAATTCTATTTTTCACTTTCTAAACTTGGAACATAAAACTTGATGGGTTTTTAAATGAGGTCAAATAACGATTATTTCAAACTTGGACACACCAATATGATTTTGTGTTTGGGAGGGAGGGGAGGAAAGGGATGTTATGTCAGACCCATAAGATGTTTTAATTTATATTTATATTTCACTGATATTACTCTTGGGACAATATCATCGACATATGATTTTTCTTTATTATCATAATGATTATCTTATGTTAAATTAATACACATTATAAAGGTTGTTATTTTGTACCCCCATATTAAACATTATTTATGCCTGTAGATCTGTGATGCTACATGTCAAACTTCTAAATTTTCCATTTTTTTAAACTTGGAACAAACCTTTATGGGAATTTGAACGGGGTAAAAATATTTCGAAAGTTTCGGCATACCAAAATGATGTGAGGGTGGTGGGTGGATCGTGACCGCCAGATCGTCATGCTATAGGTCAACATTCTAAATTTTCTTTTTTTTCCTAAACTTGGAACATAAACCTTTATGGGAATTAGAACGGGTCAAAATTATTTCGAAATTTTCGACATACCAACATGTAGTAGTGGGTGCGGGGTGGTTATGTTTTTAGGAGCAACCGCATTTCATAGCTTTTAAAATATTGTTTAATATGGACCAATTAATAATTTATCAGTTAAAAGAGATTATATTATTGTATTGTTTGTTAATTAATTAAATACTGATAGATGTACTTAAAAATCATTTACAAATAAAATATTTCACCATCACTGTGGTTTGGATCTGATAGGGTGGGGGAACACTAGCCTTGTAATTTTGCTGTGAAATGTTGAACAAGCCGGCGGTAGATGAAAAACTGAGCTGCAGAATAAGCTTGTGAAATCAATGTTCAGGGAAGTGACGATTATCATGGAAGAAACATGATTCTTATTAATTTGAGATAACAATTTCACAGATAACAAGGTTTTAGTTTTGGAGTATAGCACATTTAATGTAAAGAACGAGAGTTGTTTTAACTTGGATCCTTCCAGCTGCAAAGTGTTCCATTTTAATCCACCCGAACTAGGCATATCTCTATATCGGCCCCTCAGATGCCCCTCTGCCCAATTTGTTGCACTATTTCATGGCTGTTCTGATGAAGACATTGTTACATCTATTGCACGAAAAAACGTCGGGTTAATCAACGAAAATTAATGTAAGAGAGAAGTGGGGTTTTAACGTCCACTCACACGGATCAGGTCAGTTCATGACTAACGTGGTTTTGGTTATTCTCATTTGATCATAAGGTCTGTCATTTAAGTCAACTGCTGCGGTATCGATTTCCCGCTTGTGTATGACAAGGGGTAGGTTGCCTGTCCAACCTCATGGGTTTTCTACGGGTCATCCGGTTTCCTCCCACTGCTAAAAATCCATAAGCGCAAGCGAATTATTGAAATAAAATTGAACCATGTGTTTGTCTCGAAATTACCTAGTTTGTGTCAAGTGTACTGTTAAACCCCATTTCTCTCTTCCTACTGTTAAAGACCCTATGTGAACGCTCTAATGACAAAACTTATCATCCGATCTGTATGAAATTTTTATGCATTATTTAATTTAGTGAAATGAAGAATCCTACTGAATTTCAGCAATTTCTGTTAATTATGTCTAAGAGTTATGGCCCTTGATCACTTTGAAATATCTTGTGGATGGCCCTTGATCACTTTGAAAAATCGTGTGGATACTTTAGAGACCATAGTTATCATAATATATATATATATATATATATATATATATATATATATATATATAAATTGTTTCGATTGATCCACAGAGTTTAAGGTCTTGAGACGAACAAGTATATTGATTTTCAATGATTTTTGGTAACTTGAACAGCTAAATCCATGGTATTAAATGTTTTGTATACTAAATGTTAGCATGGGTCAAACAAATTCTAATGATTTACTTAATGAGTTAATTGTTACTCTTAATCAGATTTTAGTGTATTATAAATGTTTCATTACCAACTAAAGTAAAAATATGCGACAACTCATGTTGACTGCCCGGACGATTTAGATGCTGTGGCCGTATGTTTCGTTGCCTGGCAACCTACCTAGGCCTATATTACCTCTTTCCTATACGACAGAAAATATATACAAAAAGACTATATAACCATGTTATGATAAAATCAATCTAAATAGTATAAGAATAAAAGAATAAAATGAACAAAAAAAAGGGGGGGGGGCCTATGTACATATTTACAATTTCAGGTTTGCCATATTCATATATTTAGCTACTGGATTCATTTTTATTTAAACCTTCCGGAGATGTCTAGAAATCTATGGACTTGTTCAAAGATAATACTTGAAATAATAATATCGTCAGTGCCTTTTAATAATGTCTGTATTGAAATCACGTTTTGGGGTAAGGTAAAAATTGAATGTTTACGTGCATCGCGATGTAGAGGACAGGTTTTAACCACGAGAGCACCATGCAGAAATTGAAAAAAACGATAACCCGGGGGGTCAGCAAATTTCAACCATACTTGGTCTATTGGGACCCCTAGACGACAGAAGTCACATGATGGAGTGAAAAAATTTTGAACTGACAACTTCCGGTATAACTGGAAATTGTTGTTTTGGGGCAAAAGTTGACATATTTCGACCAATTTGTTACCCTAATTTCAAAACGCTCCTACCCGAAAAGTTGTGTCTCTAAATTTTTGATATTGGTCAGGTATGATAGGCCTAGTAGTCGTCTTAAAATCCTGCAGTCGTTTGGGAATGAATGAATCATGTGGAATTTTCTGTGAGTGATCATAAAGTGGTCATTTTACATATGTTTAAAACTATGCTATCCTAAAACGCATGTAGCTGCTTCTTTGCAGGTCTGACATAGAATTGCTTGGTGTGGTTGTGAAGGGCATTTCTCAAAGTAAATGTCAAAAGAAAAAAACTGACCGGAACGCAACCCACTAGAGTGCTGTAATATTCTGAAAATGTGTAAAAACGGTATTTTCCACGAAATTCGTCTTTTCACTAATGACCGAATACTATTTTCAAGAGTTCAAATGACCGTTGATTATGAACATTAGTACTATTTTTTGTTACTTGAACGTTCCTTGTGCCAAATATACTATCTTGGTTAAAAATCATGAAGTTTTTGTGACAAAATCGGACGTTCGCGGTCATCGTAGGAAAGGGGCTTAACTGGTGTATAATTTTGCAGGATCAGGCAACGATTATTCTCACCTGTATTCAGTAGTTAGTAGCACGGAAGTGCATAAATGTAAGGACTGGCATAGCAAGCTTTTATATTAGCACAATTTAACCTAAGCAGCACCTTTTCAGCAATGACCAACGATTATCTTCAAATGACTACTGATCATCACCATTACTTGTAATATTTCGTAATTTCAACGTGAATCGTGTCAAATAGATCATTTTGTTTAAAATCATAATATTTTTGTGACAAAATCTGACTTTCACGCTTGCTTGATAGCCATAGGGAAGGGTCATAAGTGGTGTGTAATTTTGCAGGGATCAGACCACTGTTATTAAGATCTGTATTCATGAGCAGATCATCGTATAAATTTGACTGACATGACTATCATAAACATGATATCTTTTAATTTGTACACCTGCTCATGTAAAGAAGAACCATAAGAAGAAACATTCAGAAGTGTTCATGTAGGTACATTTAATGTCTGGTATTGAAATCTCTGAATCATGGCATAGATCAAAACAGGATTTATGGCACTCCAGGATAATGTTGACAGCATGTGCCAAACTCCTACATATACCTACGTTCGAGCAGAAGTGCTCACTTACTTAGATTCCTACGTTCGAGTGTAAATGCTCTCTGACCTTCCTTCAAGGTTTTTGGACCACAGAGTACTGTTTTATTTTGTAGTACTGTTTTTGACCTCTTCTCCTTCAGGGATTTCAATATGGAATTATCATAGCCTCCCGATCTGTAATGCCTCTCTATGAAAACGTCCAAATGTTTCCATACAATGATCGGCTCCTAAATACAGATGGGAATAAGCTGGTCTGATTCCTAAAATATGTTTGACCAAAATAACCTATTTGGCACAAGGAACATTGGCAGAAAAGGTGTTGTATGGTCGTCTTGCTGATTGTGTGACTACGACTTACTGTCACTGGATCATCTACAATCCCCTCGTCCTTAAAACCTGTTACAAGTACATCCCTCAGAAACACTTCTTTTACCCAAGAGCTAAAATATGCTTACACTGAATCGTGTATCATATTTCACCTTTCATTATATCATATTTATAGAAGACGATTTGTTCTGTTTAAATTGCATTGGACATTCATGAAACTTGTCGCTGGTCTAACACATAGACTTTAGATCCTAAGGTCTGTCATTGAGTTAAGTGGTGTGACAGCATGCCGGTGACATGGTGTGGTGTTGTTTGTTCAACCTCATGGATATTCTCTTTTCCCACAAGTGTATTATTGAAGTGAAATTGTACCATATGTTAGTCCCAAAATGACCTAGTTTGTGTTGAGTGGACCTTAAACTCCATTTCTCTCTCTTAAGTCAAAATCACCCTTGCTAACGAATATATTAACTTTGTGATGATGTCCATAGATACAGTATGCATCACCATATTATGCTAGTCCCAAAATGACCTAGTTTGTGTCCAGTGGACTTTAAATCTCATTTTACTTTGTTCCTCTCATGTGTAAATCATCCTTGCTAACGACTAAATGGAATATATTAAATTTGTAAAGATGTCCACACATATACTTCATCTGGGGTATTGATAGACGGGACATTTTATCCTAATTTTTGGTGTTTTTAATATATTTCTCCTGTTTTTATTATGACTGTTCCGGTCATTTTTATTTTTTATTTTGTTAGTAGGAAGGTTGCTAGTTGTGGGTAACATTCAACTTCGGTCCTAGTCCCTGCAAAGAACGAGCTATAGTCTGTACTCAAATACATGTAATATAATTTGTTGAAGTCACTTGGTCAACTCGCAAACTATAATTAACAACCAATTTACTCTCTTGAAACTTTTTTGGTCATTAGCTGAATTTTAAATTCTAAAATTCAGTGTATAGCCTTATAACAACTTGAATTACGGTATATGTTAGTATTAACAAGAAACTGAAGAGAATGGCGCTGTCTTTTCACAGATTCGATTAAAGGCAAAAAGATAAGTATAATACTTTATCACTTCTTTACAATAATATTAAATTACATAAGATTTATGCGATTTTGTTATTTACTTAAAGATAGGTTCCCAGAAAAGTATTTATCAGGTGGTTATTTCCAATAAAAGTATGACAATTTTGGTATATATGGAAAGTAGAGGTATCCAATCTTACTAGAAAAATACTGGATTCCCCGAAAAATACTCATGAAGCGTATACAGGACAAAAATGTCAGGGTTCCCCATATCGACAGTCCGACGATTAGGAATATCTGCACGCGTGACGTCAGAGGTTACACGCGGTGATTGAGCCCTTGATGTACATGTTGATAAACTTTATGAAGAGTTAGACGTACAACACTTTCTGAGATAAAAATCACGGAAAAAGACGCAGGCAGTGGATAATCCGAGAATTTAATTAGGTTTTTATATTTGTAATAAATAGTCAGCGATTAAAGACAACATCGTCTTGTGTATGCAATGCATTTACTATTTTAGTGTATACGTGTAGTCAGTGCCGGACTGGGGCCACCTGTCCACCTGTCCGTGACAGGTGGGCCTAAGCTCATTAAAAAAAAGTGGGCCTAAGCCTATAAACAAAAAAGAAAAAAGAGAAAGAAAGGAGAGGGGGGAGAAAAGAAAGAAAGAAGGAGCGGGCAGGACACAGGACTGGAGAAAGAAATGATTGGAAAAAAATGACTGACAAACAACACAAAAAAAGAAGTGTACTAGAATTCTCAAATTCATCTAATGATAGTGCTCTTAGGTCATTCTGTTATCTAATTGTACCAGGAAATCAAAAATTTGCCTTCTTCTGCTTTGGTCTGAAATGCTTGGAAAATGGGTTTGCGGTTGACAATTTTCAAACCTTTTCTGGGAGAAGAAGCCACCCAGACCCCCCTCGGACGTTTTCGCGCCTTTGGCACGCTCGTGACGCGCCGTCGGCGCGTACTTGTGTGGGTCTTGGTCAATGACCTGACAGAGTCCAGCAGTGCATGTAGTTAAGACCATGCCTTCCACTTTGGAATGGTGAATGACTCATGTCTTATGTGCCTTACTACTGGAATGACCCCTGTTAGCCCTGTACTGAAGTCAAAGGGCATTCCCGAACTTAGGGTACTTCCACTGAACTCAGTGGCATGTCTGGAATTTTATGCTTATTCTGATAGGCGACGGCCAAGGTTTGGATATCTTGAGAATTTTCACTTGGTTTCCGGCTCTGGGTACACCATATATTAAACCTTTCGATAGTTGGAGATTTCTGCAATGGTTTTGTGTAATATCATTAAGAATCGAATGATTTTTCAATGATCAATAAAGGATGGGCAGGGATGGATTTAATTTATTCTCTATGACATGAATGATACATTAAACCATGTAAAATAGACATGCGCATTCTTTTCTTTGTTTTGTAATCAATCAAATACCCACCAGAAATATTAGCCAATCACAGTGCAGGCTTGTATAGCGAACACATAGGTAGCTGATTCTTTACAGGTGATCTGAATTATGGAACGCCAAACTAACATAAAATCAATTCACTGCCAATGGGTCCCGTCAATTAAATGAATATTTGTAAATTTGTCGTTCCATACAGCTAGAGACGCCGATTCGAACAACCCAGTCGCCTGGTAACCGTGGTGAGTACTTTTCAGATACAAACTTTAGAAAGCAAACATCCCCCAACCGTCCTTCAATTTGAAATTGAGCGGCCAAGTGAAAGCATCTATTCACATTAGCCAAATATAGGATACGTCTCTCATCTCAAACAGGTTAGTAAACTTTTAATTTTCATTTTAAAATTTTATTCAGATAGGCTGGTATATTAACAAGTCCATAGAACAGTAGAACTTTAAACCCCCATTTAAACAGTCGATCAATATTTGTACGTGACAGAAGTAGGGTATGTCGAACCGAGTGGGTTTTCTCTTAGTCATTCGGTTTCTTTCCATTGGTAAAGACACGTACGTTCAGATAGGCTGGTATATTATTAACAAGTCGACAGAACAGTAGGACTTTAAACCCTCCATTTAAACAGTCGATTAATATTTTTACGTGACAGGAGTAGGGTATGTCCTTCGTTTTTTTCCATTGCTAAAGACACCTACGTACAATATACCACATGTTAGTCCCGAAATTACCTAGTTCGTGTTGAGTAGACGTTAAAATAGTGTCGTGTTTTATTTGCATTAAACTGGACCTACAAAATGGCGCAAAATTCTTCATTGTATTACCAATAGCATATGCGCAGTATGTTAGTCTCATAATTGTCTCTGGGTTTTTTTTATCAAGCAACAGTTTCTCAATGTAGAATTTGAATACCCGGAAAGGAATAGTGTGAGACGGCCTAGGTTTACAAACTATATGCATTGTTCATTATTAAAGGGGAAGTGTCAGCGTTCACCAGGTATACAAATCAAGGGACAAAATGTGAAGAATTTTCTGATTTATAGCCCACCTCACATGAATAATGAAAGTTTGTATTTCTTTGGCATAGCATCATAAAATTTTAGATTGTCGAATAGGCCAAGGTTAGAGTCTTTCACGCAGAGTTAACCAGTTTATTTACTTTCATATTTCTATTACATATTACAGACATATCTCCTGTTATCGGTCGGACGATGGCGGCGTGGTAGTTCTTCTTTGGGTAAGCTACCTTTTACTTTTAAATAAACGATCTTCACCATATTACAATATTTTCGTCAAACTACATAGAATAGTTTCCGTCCTATATCGGACTAATATGACCTATGAGACAGGGGTAGTCCAATGTTACGGACATATTCGTATGTGTAATCCTTCAACACCAATGAATTTGTCAATCGATGCGCATATTGATTTGAGTTTAGGAAAAAAGAGTTAACATTAATTTAATTCATGGGTTTTTTTTATTTTCAGATTGCACTAAAGGAGACAAGAAGTTTATGGTATCATAGAGAGGTCCACACACGTTATTATTTATCTTATACTGGGTCTGTCTTTATATTCTGGCTGGTTGATGTGTATAAGCTTGGCTTGTGCACCAGATTCCTTTGTAAATATCATGTGAAGTTTTCCATGATGTATTAATAGGTTTTTTTTGGTTGAAAGTTGTAGACATGGGGAGTAATTAAATTGGGATATATTAATATGGCATCAATCAACTAATCCCACATCTCCTTTAGGCAACTAATATTTTCTTTTTGGGGTTCTTCTTTTGTTTGTTTTTTTTTGCATGTTTTTCACTGCATTTGCTTAAGTAAGGGGTGCTATATTTAATATATTCTGATATTTGGTTTATCTTAGATTTTTAATGCCCTTAATGTATATTGCAAATTTCTCATGAGAGTCCAGTAAAGATAATCTTGTATAACGTGTTTCTATGATAAACTTAGATGTATTGTTGATAGTGGGGTCTAGAGAGTTTACGGATACAGGTGAGTTATGCATCACCACTTTATAGATTTTAATATTTTTTGGTATGACAATAGACAAATGTAAAACGTGCTGTCTTTTTTATTAGTCCATAAACTGATTGCATTTTACAGGATTTTTATTGTAAGTTTGATGAAAAAAATAAATAAAGGGTCCAGAAAGATCTAACTAAACATAAATATAATTTTTTTCTTAAAAAATAGTGACGGCGCCGGTTAAAGTACATAAACTGAGATTAGATGTACAATACTTAATAATCCTTCACTAATTTACAGGATCGTGGGGATATGTTTGTAAGGGACGTATGAAGACGGTGATAGTTGTGGATGAGCAGGACACACAGCATATTATACATGGAGGTATTATTGTACAGACAATTGTTATGCAATCGATGAGGTAAGCATTAATATCAATATTTTCTGTATTTCTAAAACAAAGTCGGAAGTGTTATTACTGTAATACAAAATTTCAAACATTATTTATGAGTTTTATTTAGAACATAAAATGTCGTTTAATGTAACACGATGAACCGAAATAGTAGTGGTTATTCATAGGAATTTCACGAATGAGGGTAGCTGATTGTGTTAGACCATTCCATTTCACTTCTTATCTGGAGTTCAAATATATATTTATACGTCTCGAATAATTCACTGTTTTCCTTATTTTAAAACATTAAAAAAAATATACATACTTGTTAATTACAACTTCTCTAGTTCATGTAGGCAACAAGTTTGTCCTTGGCTGTTGATATATAATGGTATATTTTACAGGACCACAACAATGTTAAGACGCCGAATGATCAATATGACGATTACCACTGGTATAGGAGAACAGACAGGGTAGGTATTAATACCAAACTTTACTTATTTCTAAATTATCCCTAAAATTTATAAATACATGTAATTCAAATTAAACTCCATGTGATATGCTTAATTACATAATATGATGTCCATTGAATCAAATTATACATATTAACTGTTGAGACATTCCTGGAAATAGAACTTACGCCTTCAAAACTGTGACATTTCAACAACGTATCACTTGGTCATCTTAAAGTTGCAATTTCATATTTTTGAGTTACATTTTTAAAATCTATTAAAATAAAGCCTGAAAATAGATGGTATCTATAAACAGTCCTACCTTGTTAAAGAATAATCCTATTAATTCTATAGGGGCCACGGTGGCTAGGTGGTTAAGACGCTGGCTCGCTAGCCTGGAGGTCGGGTGTTCGATCCCTGCATTGGCCGAGAAAGTTCATTTGGATTTTCCGACGTGTTTTCCCCTTATCAGAACGGAGGGCCTGACAAGGACAGCTGTCTAGTCCTTCGGATGAGACGAAAAACCGAGGTCCCGTGTATACATTAGAATGCACGTAAAAGATCCCTTGGCAGTTGGAATTCGATATAAGAGTAGGCGATAGTGCCGCTGCCCGGGCACAATTTCCCACATAGCACACTGTATGGCGTATGCCCGTCTTCATTAGCCCAGTATAGGAGTAGGACGTTAAACCCCATTTTATTTCTATTAATCCTATAATTCACTATTGCCAGTTGAGAAATTGGCAAAAATATCATTTTCATCTTCAAATTCAAACATTTGAAGATAACTACTCCATGGTGGAGAATAGAAAACAAGGGAGGTAATTGTGTTATTATTTCCGGTGTAAATGAGTTTAAAGTGTGAGAATGACACCTATGATCGTTTAATAGTGAGTTGACAACCTATTGAGCAAAGGACATAGAAATAATTATGTTTTGACTTTCTTAGAAAATATGAAATTGTAACTTTAAGTGTTGAATAGTGGTTCTTAGATGAATTTACTGTATCGGTTTACTTTGAACAAATCATACTTCAGCTGCAAGCTGAGATTTTCTAGTCGCAAAACAATACAGCATGAAGTTAGGAAACGTTCGTTCGTAGTTTTTGAAAACGTTTCAGATTTACTGAAATATTAATCCTGTTGTACAGATGGGCAAATTTTCAACTACGTCCTTTTTTTAAACGATATTATTCATATGGACAATTTAATTGTCATAGTTTACCTTTTTTTCCAGCTGTGATTTGGATGGATGTCAAGCGGAAGTTTATGGTACCGGGAACTCGACTGGGAAATGGAAGTTGCATAGGGAAATTCTAGATTGGCAATAACAGGTTTATGTTTTTTCTGTATGTATTGTATATATACTATTCAAAAAAAGTAGGGGATATTTGATTTTTAAGTGTTATTAAAGTCACCTAATGAAATTGACGAAGAAACAAATGACAAAATGAAATGAAGTTCACATTCATCGATTTATTCCAAATGATCGTTAGACTAAGTAAGGCACAGACTGGCCATTATAAGGGTAAAATGATACCCGGGGTCAAACAGCAAAGTTACCACAGCATCACAACCAAGTCAGTAACGGGTAAATCCTCCTCTGTTTGCCAAACAAGCATTGATCCGACGTGGCATACTCCTAATGAGACGTCTAAGGTCATTTTGGTCCAGATTGTCCCATTCCTGTTGCAACGCAGCAGCCAGTTCTTGGACATTGGCAGGACGTTGTTGACGTTGACGTAACCTCTGTCCAAGCATGTCCCAGACATGCTCGATGGGGGAGAGGTCGGGACTCAGTGCTGGCCAAGGTAATGTGGTGATGTTCTGTTGTTGGAGGTAACCTGTAACGATCCTGGCCCTGTGACATCTTGCGTTGTCATCCTGGAAGATGAAACGGCGGCCATGACGTCGTGCGAACGGCACAACATGGACTGCCAAGATGTTGTCCCGGTAGTACTGGCCTGTAACACGCCCTGCAACAACATGTAAAGCCGTTCTTCCAGCAACAGTGATGCCTCCCCACACCATAACAGAACCACCCCCAAATCGATCATGTCTGATGACGTTAACGTCTTGGAAACGCTCGTTTCGACGACGCCACACCCTCCTACGTCTGTCCAAAAAATCAACAGTGAACCTTGACTCATCTGAAAACATCACATTGCTCCAGCGTCGATTATCCCAGTGTTGACGATCCCTACACCAACGACGTCTTGCCTGAATGTGATGATCTCCTAAACAAGGGATCACGCGAGGACGTCGGGCGCGAAGGTGACCCCTATGCAGTCGATTCCGAATCGTCTGGCCACTCACTCTCACACCAGTGTCTGTTTGAAGACGAGCGCTGATCTGATTTGCTGTGATGACACGATTTCTCAAGGCCAAGGTACGGATAAATCGATCCTGGGCTTGAGTTGTCGACCTGAGCGTGGTCTGTCCTGTACAGATTGTGTATCACGGTATCTGGACCATAGCCTGCTTATGACAGACTGAGAAACATTCATCGTCCGCGCCACAACCGCCTGTGTTGTGCCGATCTGTAGCATGCCAAGGGCACGTAACCTTTCATTTTGGGTAAGCCGACGCATATCAAAATTTGTTTTCTGGTCACTAAAACAATTAAACTGATGTTTCCACCCTGGAATTCAATGCCACAATGACTGTAACATTCAAAGTCAGAGTCGTGCAAATCTTGGGTTGGACCCCCATGATGATCCCAAGCATCACCTGCATTCCATGCGGTAGCTATTGGTGCGTTAGGGCGTCACATGTAACTGGAAATGTTTCTTCTGTTAGGTTCTATAGTGACTTTTTTCGTAGTCATTTGCATATTTTAGTATTTTGAATAGTATATTTTCTAAATTTTCATGGGTCCGTCTGATAGGTACAGTAAAGGACATTCTGTTGACTAGTTTGAAACACATCTTAAAATGGGGACCCCTTGGAAACACTGACTTTTAGTTAGGCTTGAGGTGTAAAACTACTTAAGGGACCGAGTCTATCTGTTATGTCTAGGGTAACATGTCATAACTTCAACAACAACGATCACACCGAAGATGTTTACCTCTATCGGGAGAAAACACACCGACGACCAGATGGGACGGACAGTTTCTTCATACATACAGAAAATAAACACCATAACTTCATCAACAAAGATCACACCGAATATGTTTATCTCTATCGGGAGAAAACACCGACGGTCAGATGGGACGGACAGTTTCTTCATACATACACAAAATAAACACCATAACTTCAACAACAAAGATCACACCGAATATGTTTATCTCTATCGGGAGAAAACACCGACGGTCAGATGGGACGGACAGTTTCTTCATACATACACAAAATAAACACCATAACTTCAACAAAGATCACACCGAATATGTTTGTCTCTATCGAGAGAAAACACACCGACGGTCAGATGGGACGAACAGTTTCTTCTATATCCCGAAAACACAACATAAACAGATACTTCACTAGTCTACAGACACAACATAAGTTTCTTCACTAGTCTACAGACACTACAGACACAAAAGTTTCTTCACTATTCTACATACACAAAGATTCGGGGTTCCTTGCAGCCAGGTGGCGAGACCTGTGCTTGAGGTTATTGTCTGGAGATTAGAAATGGTGGTAATGGTTGTAGGCTGCAGACGTACCATTACTTCTTAGAACATGTACACAACTACATTCAGTCCAATTTAGGACTTCCGTTCTTTTCGAATTGTGATCCCCACACAATTATAAGACAGACCACAACGCAAGGGTTATGACATTGTTAATCTTAACACGATTCTGGATGAAATATATTACAAACTTCTGTCTCCTACGAAGTTTTCCGTTTTCCGTCGATTCTGGTGTGCACACCCCATTCATTGGCCTTCGACGGGGGCAGTTATCTTTGAAGACTTGAAATTGGCCACCCAGTTATCTCTAATAGTTAGTTTACTGTTATATCTTATAGCTATATAGGCAGTTCGCTTCGTTTCTCTAGAACATTACATTTGGGCTTGTTTCATCATGTAGAGTTTAAACCGATATCTTCACTAAAAGTCTATCAAATCACTTCTCTATGTAAAGGTGTGTCCAAGACTGGTTAGCAGGTGTTCCTTTACTGTAACATTTTGATTCACAAATTGATGGGGTTCGTTTGCAATTTGGATTTAACTATTGTTATATACTATTCAAAAAAAGTAGGGGATATTTGATTTTGGGGGCATAATACTAAAATATGCAAATGACTACGAAAAAAGTCACTATAGAACCTAACAGAAGAAACATTTCCAGTTACATGTGACGCCCAAACGCACCAATAGCTACCGCATGGAATGCAGGTGATGCTTGGGATCATCATGGGGGTCCAACCCAAGATTTGCACGACTCTGACTTTGAATGTTACAGTCATTGTGGCATTGAATTCCAGGGTGGAAACATCAGTTTAATTGTTTTAGTGACCAGAAAACAAATTTTGATATGCGTCGGCTTACCCAAAATGAAAGGTTACGTGCCCTTGGCATGCTACAGATCTGCACAACACAGGCGGTTGTGGCGCGGACGATGAATGTTTCTCAGTCTGTCATAAGCAGGCTATGGTCCAGATACCGTGATACACAATCTGTACAGGACAGACCACGCTCAGGTCGACCAAGGGCGACAACTCAAGCCCAGGATCGATTTATCCGTACCTTGGCCTTGAGAAATCGTGTCATCACAGCAAATCAGATCAGCGCTCGTCTTCAAACAGACACTGGTGTGAGAGTGAGTGGCCAGACGATTCGGAATCGACTGCATAGGGGTCACCTTCGCGCCCGACGTCCTCGCGTGATCCCTTGTTTGAGAGATCATCACATTCAGGCAAGACGTCGTTGGTGTAGGGATCGTCAACACTGGGATAATCGACGCTGGAGCAATGTGATGTTTTCAGATGAGTCAAGGTTCACTGTTGATTTTTTGGACAGACGTAGGAGGGTGTGGCGTCGTCGAAACGAGCGCTTCCAAGACGTTAACGTCATCAGACATGATCGATTTGGGGGTGGTTCTGTTATGGTGTGGGGAGGCATCACTGTTGCTGGAAGAACGGCTTTACATGTTGTTGCAGGGCGTGTTACAGGCCAGTACTACCGGGACAACATCTTGGCAGTCCATGTTGTGCGGTTCGCACGACGTCATGACCGCCGTTTCATCTTCCAGGATGACAACGCAAGATGTCACAGGGCCAGGATCGTTACAGGTTACCCCCAACAACAGAACATCACCACATTACCTTGGCCAGCACTGAGTCCCGACCTCTCCCCCATCGAGCATGTCTGGGACATGCTTGGACAGAGGTTACGTCAACGTCAACAACGTCCTGCCAATGTCCAAGAACTTGCTGCTGCGTTGCAACAGGAAAGGGATAATCTGGACCAAAATGACCTTAGACGTCTCATTAGGAGTATGCCACGTCGGATCAATGCTTGTTTGGCAAACAGAGGAGGATTTACCCGTTACTGACTTGGTTGTGATGCTGTGGTAACTTTGCTGTTTGACCCCGGGTATCATTTTACCCTTATAATGGTCAGTCTGTGCCTTACTTAGTCTAACGATCATTTGGAATAAATCGATGAATGTGAACTTCATTTCATTTTGTCATTTGTTTCTTCGTCAGTTTCATTAGGTGACTTTAATAACACTTAAAAATCAAATATCCCCTACTTTTTTTGAATAGTATATATCACCAACGGCCATCAATTTATCTAAATAAGCTTGTTATTTCCATCAATTTATCTAAATAAGCTTGTTATTGCCAAACTAGTATTTTTCTAATGAAGTCGTCTACAGATGTCTACTGTTATTATTGTTTATTTATATTATATTCATGATTATGTTTATTTACATTGTAAGGTCAGTAGTGAGTAAACACTTCCAGTTGATCAGAGCACTTGGGAAAATCCTACCTCCCCCTTCCTAAATGGGAGTTAGGGTTGGGTAGCCGGCTCGCAATACTGACCATACGTGTACTTTATAAGTACATATGATGTCAACATTCAAAATTTTTCATTGTCTATAATGTGTATTGTGTTTGTCGTTGGTAATTCAATCCGCCATTTTAAATAACCATTTCAAAAATACAATTTTTTTCGAGGGGTGGAGAGGTTACTTTTCCATATTTTAAATCAAATATCTTATGATACTAACTTTTTATACATTTTGGAAACATTATTTAATTTTTATGCTCCCATATTTACAGGTCAAAGGTTAAAATTCTATTTTTCACTTTCTAAACTTGGAACATAAAACTTGATGGTTTTTAAATGAGGTCAAATAACGATTATTTCAAACTTGGACACACCAATATGATTTTGTGTTTGGGAGGGAGGGGAGGAAAGGGATGTTAT